TTCTTTTTTGTATTCCCACTGTCTCTGTCAGTTTATCTGCCTCAGCATTCACACACCTGCATTTTTTTAAAACCTCCTGTACCGGTCAGGATGAGCTGTTTGTCTGTAGGACCAAGCAATCCCTGAAGCTCAGTGGAGTGGCACACCACTTACTTTTTACTCACCATATCTGACCAGCACAGGTTGGTAGGAGGGCTCTCGTCATCCTAGTGTCTCACAGACCAGGGGATATAGGTGCCCTCTCCATAAATACTTCCATCCTATCAAAGACAGGGCAGAGAGAACATAGTAAACCACACACGTCTACCCGGAAAGGACACATGCCATTTCCACTCATATTGCTTGGCCAAAGGAAGTCATGTGGCTGCTTTGAAGGGAGCAAGGAAGTATCACCCCACTGTATGTCTGAAAGGAGAATGGAAATATTCATTATACGTGACCATACTTCTTGTGGTAGGCAGGATAACAGCTCTTCAAAGATGTCTATGTACTAATCCCTGGATTATGGTATGTTACATAGCAAAGGGAAATAAGGTTGCAGGTGGAATTAAGCTTGCTAATCAGCTGACACTAAAATAAGGAGACTGTTTCAGTTACCCAGGTGGGGCCACTATAATCACAAGAGAGAATGGGGAAGAGGGAGAGAGAAAGGAGAGGCAGAGGAAAAAATGTGATGGAGCTGGCTTTGAAGATGGAGGAAGAGAACTACAAACCAAGAAATGCAGGCAGCCTCTTGAGGCTAGAAAAGTCAGGGGCACGAATTCTTCTTCTAGAGCCTCTGGAAGGAATGTGACCCTGCTGATGCATTAACTTGAATCTAGAGAGAGCTGTGTCAGACTTTTCAACTACTGAACTGCAAGATAATGAACGTGTGTGGTTTTAAGCCACTAAATTTGTGGCAATGTGTTACACCAACAATAGGAAGCAAATATACCTCTCTTTTAAAAAATTCACATTTATTATTAATTTTTTTCTAAGCATAAAAGACATGGTAAAACTTGGTTCATATAAAAATTACTCACAAGTTTTTGGTATATATCCTTTCAGTATTATTTCCTGCTTATATCTACAGTACCTATGTATAAGTGAATTGTACATATTACAGAATTCGATCATGTGGCATAGCTTTGCAGCTTGCCTTTTCATTTAGCAATGGCTCAAGAACATTTTCCTATGACTAAAATGTTCTAATTGTGCTATCCAGTACAGTCAAATGCAGCTATTTAGCCACTTGAAATGTGGCTAGTCTGAATTGAATTGAGACATACAGTAAGTCCTCATTTAATGTCATCAATAGGTTCTTGGAAACTGTGACTTTAAGCAAAAAGATGTTCAACCAAACCAGTTTTTCCATGGGCTAATTGACATAAATAAGAGGTAAATTCCATCGGTATATCTCTGGTCACAAAAACATCATCAACTTTTAAAGAAGGACCAAAATGCTTCTAATATGAAACACTGAAATAAATGTGAGCTATACATAAATCTAGGCAAGATTAATAAAGGCCAGGCATAGTGGCTCATGCCTATAATCCCAGTGCTTTGGGAGACTGAGGCAAGAGGATCACTTGAGCCCTGGAGTTTCAGACAAGTCTGTGCAACATAGCAGGACCCTTGTCTCAAAGAAAAGAATAAGTTAAAAAAATAAAAATAAACAAGTAAGATAATTATTTACCCAATTATTTCAGTTCAGGGTCATTGGAAGCTAGAGCCAGCTCAGAGAACAAGGCAGGAACCAACCTTGGACAGGGCACCATTCCATCCCAAAGGATCACTCTGTCTCTGTCTCTCTGTCTCTCTCTGTCTCTCTCTCTCTCTCTCTCTCTCACACACACACACACACACACACACACACACACACACACACACACTGGAACCATGTAGCTATCGAATCCTCCTAAGATGCACATCTTTGGGATGTGGAAGGAAACCAGAGCAGCCCGAGAAAACCCATGCAGACATGAGGAGAATATGCAAATTTCACAGAGGGGCCCCAGCCAGGAATCAAGTTTTTAAATCAAAGTTACAATGAAGCAATGTTAAGCCAAACGATGTTATTCAAGGATATGCTATACTATAAGTGAAAAATACACACTAGAATTTAAAGATTGAGTATGAAAAAAGAATGTAAAGTAATAATTTTTTATATTAATTTCATGTTGAAATAATATTTTTGTTATATTGGGTGAATATTTTATTTTATTATTATTTTTTGAGATGGAGTCTCACTCTGTCATCCAGGCTGGAGTGCAGTGGTGTGATCTCGGCTCATTGCAACGACTGCCTCCCGGATTCAAGTGATTCTCCTGCCTCAGTCTCCTGAGTAGCTGGGATTACAGGTGCCTGCCATGATGCTCAGCTACTTTTTGTATTTTTAGTAGAGATAAGGTTTCACCATGTTGGCCAGGCTGGTCTCCAACTCCTGAACTCAGGTGATCCACCCGCCTCGGCCTCCCAAAGTGCTGGGATTATAGGCGTGACCCACCGTGCCCAGCTGGGTTAAATATATTATCAAAACTAATTTCATTTGTCTCTTTTTACTTTTTTAATGTAGCTACTAGAAAATGTAATGTTATTTGCATGGCTAGCTTTATAATTATATTTGATAGCACTGTTCTAACACATTTTATTTATTTTTATTTTTGAAAATTAGAGACAGGGTCTTGCTATGTTGCTCAAGCTGATCTTGGACTCCTGAGGTCAAGCAATCCTCCTGCCTGGGCCTCCCAGAGTGTTGGGATTGCAGGCATGAGCCACTGCAGGGGGCCTATGTAAGATTTTACATGCAAATAATATTCATCACACAACTGATTTAAGAAGTTATTTGGGGCCAGGTGTGGTGGCTTGTGTCTGTAATCCCAGCACTTTGGGAGGCTGAGGCTGGTGGGTCACTGGAGATCAAGAATTTGAGACCAGCCTGGTCAACATGGTGAAACCCCATTTCTACCAAAAATACAAAAATTAGCTGGGCATGGTGGCACATACCTGTAATCTCAGCTACTTGGGAGGCTGCAGCAGGAGAATCACTTGAACCTGGGAGTTAGAGGCTGCAGTGAGCCAAGATCACGCCATTACACTCCAGCCTGGGTGACAGAGTGAGGCTCTCTCTCACAAAAAAAAAAAAAAAAAAAAAAAAAAAAAGAAGAAAGAAAGAAAAAAGAAAAGAACAAGAAGTTATTTGGAACTTTTATCATGTCTCTCCTAATTAAGGTGAGGTACAGGACCATCTTTGAGGAAAGAGTCAGATTTCCTCTGAACTGTCCCTGTGGTTTGCCATAAGCTGCAATGAACTCTATTTATGGGATGCTGCTGCCGCTGATGAGCTTGGAACACTCCTCCAGGCTCCTTCTTAAACCATACCGGGTCTTCCTGAGCCTTCCAAGCTCCATGCCAAACAACATCAGTGGAGGATCTCTGGTAGACGCTGCCCTTTTTTGAGGCATGTAGAGTCAGCAAACCTCAATTTACCTCGAACTATGTTGAATGTCATCTAGGAGCAGGGGATCATTTGCAGATCATCACTCACAGCATTAGCGTAGTCAATAACAACACAGAAGAAATCACAATATCATTTTATCAGCCCTATGAGTTCCCTTGGATCCATATTTACATGTTGGATATGGTCAGGTCAAATTAAGTACCCCAGACTCAAGCCTTGTGATGGTCCATATCATCAGCTGGATTCTTAGAATATAATTCAGGGGAAAAAATATGCCTCCTTTTACCTGTCCACTTACAGGGTTAGATAAGTTTCCCTATTGAATCTGGCTGGTGATTTCTTATTTATTAATAAGTGGAAAGGCAGAGTAGAAACTAACTCGAGTTACATTATTGGGCTGCATCACTGAAATCCTAGATTTTCTTGGTAATAATGAATAATAGTAAAGAGAAAAAAATCTTTCCCTCCTCTCTCTCCCACTCTCTCTTTTAGAGACAAGGTCTTGCTCTGTTGCCTAGGCTGGAGTACAGTGTAGCTCACTCGCTGCAGTCTTGAATTCCTGGGCTTAAGTGATCCTCCCGCCTCAGCCTCCTGAGTAGTTGGGACTAGTGGTGTAAGCCACCACACCAGGCTAATTTAAAAAAAATTTTTTTTTTGGTAGGGACGGGATCTTATTATATTGCCCAGGCTGGCCTTGAACTCTTGGCTTCAAGCTATCCTTCCACATTGGCCTTCCAAAGTGCTGGGATTACGGGTGTAAGCCACCATGCCCAGCCTATCATTTCTTAACTCTAGGCTCTAACTTCGATTCAGCCCTCTTATAAATTTGAAAGTGGAAATAAATTATATGTAAAAGAGTCAGATCTACCTCTGAGGTTTGTCAGATACTGCAGCTGCTGCTATTTTACCTCAGGTAGAGGTTGTTTTTGTTGTTGCTTTTTAACTTCTAACTCTCACATTTTCTTAATCTATAAAATTATTTATGGCCCTTTCCATTGATACTATATACTACGGTTGAAAGGATTGAAAGTTTGTCCACTTTTGGCCTGGCACAGTGGCTCATGTCTGTAATCCTAGCACTCTGGAAGGCTCAGGCAGGCAGATCACAAGGTCAAGAGATCGAGACCATCCATCTTGGCCAACATAGTGAAACCCTGTTTCTACTAAAATACAAAAATTAGCCAGTTGTGGTGGCACACGCCTGTAGTCCCAGCTACTTGGGAGGATGAGGCAGGAAAATCACTTGAACCTGGGAGGTGGAGGTTGCAGTGAGCCAATATCATGCCATTGCACTCAGCCTGGGCAACAGAGCGAGACTTCATCGTAAACAAAAGAAAAATAAAAGTTTTTCACTACTGCCTCCGAGACCCGCTCGGCCATAGAGACCGCCCCCGCCCCCACGCAGGTGGTGCTGGAGGAATTGAGAGGCAGACACCCAGATAGAACAACAAAGGGGGACTATCCGAGGGGCCAACAGCCTTCCAAGCTGAGCGCCTCAGAGCCTGACAGCATTCTGGGCTGAAGGCCTCGAGCAGACTCTGACCCACGCATTTATTCTCTCTGAACAGGTCTTTATTATCAACAAATAGATGTTCCGTATTTTCTCACAACATAAAATATGCCAAATAGGCAGCTGGTACCCACTTACCACTGATCACACACAAACTAAAAAGTATTATCCAGGAGGGAGCCACGGGGTCAGGGTCAGTTATCTTAAAGAATTGTTTTAACCGGTGTATGATATTTACATATTGTTCTGCCACTTTGGAATGCCCCAAGTAGTTTTCTACTTGGGGTGGGGGGCACTGCTAGGTTTTCCTTGCCATCATTCTTCCTAGCAAACAATATATTCTATCATATACTCAGCATTTCTCAATATTCATAAACTTAACATTTCTAAACCACTTAACAGTTCTCAACAACTACCTAATTTGCTTCAAGGTCCATTTCATTCCTTTTAGCTCTTGGCATTGTAATTTGCTAATTTGCCTTTCCAGGTGTCATATACTTTTCACGTGAAAGGCTGCAGCATCTGCGAGAGGTCAGCTCACCTAAAAAGCATGTTCAGAGCAGGATAGTGATGGAGGAGCCAGGACATTTCCTGGTGTACTGTGGTAGGCAGCCTATGCAAACCTACCCCCAAAAGTCTAAGAAATTTGCCAGCTAGAAGTTGATGAGCTGGGTCTCAAATTCAGGTCTGTTCAGTTCTAGAACAGAATCTATATGTAGAGTGTCTCTCTTCACCCTTATTCAGGTTTTATTCATATGCCACCCTCAGTCATTCACCATGAATTCACTGGACAGCTAGGGAAGCACAGAACAAGCACTCAGTATTTCACTCAGGGCAGGCTCTGAGTGTGTCTGTTTTTGCCATGTTCTTCCAGCCCATGTTGCCTCTTCAGTTTTCCAGTTTTCCAGCCTTTCCATTAGACTGAAACTCAGCTCTGCTTCCTTCTTGTCATATCTTGTCTGAAGTTTTCCCTGATGGTTTCACATACACTAATCCCTGTGAACCTTGAAGTTCACCACTTCTTTGGGCCAATGGTGGGGTGGGGATGGAAAGAGAGTAGAAACAAATTACTCTGTGGACAAATTCCATGCAAAGATTTTCAGCTGGGTGGATCTTTGATACGAGATCTGAAAAACTGTTGGTAAAGCCCAAACCTGCTTCTGAGCCTCAATTAGCACCTTTCTGTGTGGCTGAAAGGTTTCACTCTCCAGTGTGAAACCAGAAGTGTTTATTAACAAGTTCAGGACAAAGACCCGCTGACAAGAATGAGCCTCCCTGGAGATCTGTCCTCTTGTTTAGCAGAACCTGGCATGTAGTAGGTACTCAATCTATATATTGAGTCAGTATCATGCATCTGTTGTGTCCCAGATATCTTCCACAGGGCTTGATGGGTTGACTTAATACTTTTCAAATTCAGGTTAATTCAATAAAAACAGCCCAGCATCATTAAGGCACAAGAGCCTCGCCCTTTTACACACTTTCCACGAACTTTTGGTTGCCTTCCTTCAAAACACTTGTTAAGAACCCCACACAAATACCGCCCCTCCATCAAAACATCCTCAGCTTTGCCAGGTAGAGAATTGCTTCTGCAGGAGCTGGGTCACGTCTCTGCGGTAGTGCCCATCGCATGGGATCGGTATTAATCTGTCTGTCTCATCTTCTGGGTTCTGAGCTCCTAGAAGTCAAGCCAAACGGTTGTTCGCATAAGGTTAGTTATAATTAAAATGTCGGTTCCTGCACATGGTTTGGGACTCTGTGTATGAGTACGATTAATATCTTCAATTTATTAAGAAGATAAGGAGGTCGATAAATAAAGAGGTCGAGCCCGTTTTGCAAGGTCACACAGGAGGAAACGGACCACGAAAATGAACGTACGCTGTCACCTGCGGTGAGCGCGCTAGAGGTCTTTTGACCTCCTTTGGCTACCGTCGCCGGCTTCCCGTGCGCACTTTTTCTGCGCCTGCGCGCGGTGGAGAGCCGTCCATTTTTCCATCCGTCTGGAAGGACGTTGGTGTTGAGGTGAGTCCGGGTCGCTTTTGCATCCGTCCCGCTTCGCGTTATCACAGCGGTCGCCTCCCGCTTTCTGTCTGCCTCGGAGTTTAGTCGCGACTCTTGTGTCTTGGCCGTGGTGAAGCTTTGGGCCTCTCTCCTGCATCTACTTCCTCACGCTTCCGTTGCGGCCTCAGAAGGGCGGCGGGCGGACCACGGGGACCGGGTGGGCTGCGACCGCCCCACAGAAGCTCGGTGGGCTACCGGAACCTCGGGTTGGCTTCGGAGTGAGCTGACCCGGGGCCGGTACCCGCTGCGCTTTTTTTTTCCAACCAGTGTGACCTTGATGAGGTCATTTGACTTATCTGGCCCAGGTGTTTCTCTCGTTAAAAAAAAAAAAAAAAAAAGGGTTGGGGTGGGGGGTGGTTTTTTTTCTAACTGGTCGTGTGGCGCAAGGGTCGCTCGCTGTGTGGCAGCATTTTAAGTTAGAGCTGGGAAGCTGGAGGAGGATCACCGTGCCTGTCGCAGGAGTGAAAGGATGGGCTTCTGCCACCTCCCTCGCCCCACGGCTTCCCATCCTACCCCGAGCCGCGTCAGCGAATGCCTTCGGGGACGGCCGCGCGCGGGGGTCTTTAGGCCCCCGGATGGGGCTGGGCAAAGGAGCAGTTAGGGAATTTGGGCACTCAGGGCAATCGCTGCGCTCCCGGTGAAGCTTTAACGGTATACCGTGTGACGGTGGAAAACACCTGCCTCGTGATCTGACAGGGTTGTCGCGAAGGTTTAAGGAATGGATGGAAAATCTTTAGAAGAGTAAATGTTACGTAAATGAGTAATTAATACGGAACTGCTGCTTGTTTTTTCCTGTTTCTGGGATGGATTTTTGTTGCCTTTGCTTGCCCATTACTAGTGTGCCACGGTTAGTCGCGTCTATTTATGGTAGTAAATAGGAGGTGAAGCACGCTAAGCCAAGAGACAGCTTAGGCTTTGTGGGAGGAATCCGCCCACTGTCGTTCTGTGTGTCTCTGGGTAGTAAAATGCACTATGCGTGAGAGTTTCTTTGATATCTTATTCTCTTCTGAGGTTTTCTTTCATTTTACCCGAGAAAGGGAAAAAAAAGCTCAGAGTAGTGACAGTTACATGAGGTATGCAGGCCCAGAGACCTGAGTTGAACTTGAGTCACGCCCCTCACCCACGTCTCAACCCAAATCTTACTCCTGAATTTGTGACACAAAGGACAGCGTGTAGTCAATAGCTTATGTTATTTTACTGTAAATTCATGGTAAACAATTTAGCATTTGCCTCTAATTTTTTCTTAACCCACTTGTAGGCCAGAATCCCAGCACTTTGGGAGGACAAGTTAGGATGATCACTTGAGGCCAGAAGTTTAAGACCAGCCTGGGGAACTCTAAAAAAGAAAAACATTTTTATTTGTAACTGCTGCTAATCAGAGTGCATATTCAGGGCAACTCCAATCAATGCTTCCAGGTGGCCATTGTGAAGTTTTTGGCTTAAATAAACTCTGTACTTGATCATGTTTTCTGAATCTCTTAAGGTTGGAGTACGTATCAAGGACAGTAACTACCATGGCTTCTGAAGTTTTGGCAAAACCTCAGATGCGTGGCCTTCTGGCCAGGCGTCTGCGAATTCATATGGTTGGAGCATTCCTGGTATCCCTGGGGGTTGCAGCTCTCTATAAGGTATGTATGTTTGTTTTTTACTTTGTGTCTAAGATTATAAAGTACGTGTTTTTGGTGGAAAAATCTTTAAAAGAAACCCCCCTTGTAATATGTTTCCTTCTACCCTTTCTGCACTCACCTCAGTGTGACAGGAACTACCGCTTGGACTCCATCTTGAAATGAAGCTGTGTTAGTTTGCTGGGAATGCCGTAATAAAGAACCACGGACTGGGTGTCTTGAATTTGCTTGCAGGTCTGGAGGCTAGAAATCTGTTGGCAGGGTTGATGTCTTCTGAGGCCTCTGTGGGCTTGTAGATGGCTCTCTTCTCTGTCTTCACAGTGTCTTCTGTGGGCATATGTCTGTGGCTGAACCTCTTTTCTTTTTCTTTTCCTTTCCTTCTTTCCTTTTCCTTTCTTTGAGACAGGGTCTTACTCTGTCACCTGGTAGCTGGGACTACAGATACACAACATCAAAACTGGCTAATTTTTATATTTTTTTTGTGGAGATGAGGTTTCGGAGACGGCCACATTGTCCTGGTCAGTCCTGAACTCCTGGGCTCAAGGGATACACCTGCGTTGGCATCCTAAAGAGCTGGGATGATAGGTGTGAGCCACTGCACTTGGCCTGCTGAATTTCTTAAAAGAATAGCAATCATATTGAATTAGGGCCCACCCTAAAGGCCTTATTTTAACTTAATTATCTCTTGAAAGCCGTTATTTCCAAAATCATTTAGATTCTGAGGTACTGAGAGTTAGGACTTAAACACATGAATTTTGGTTGAACACAATTCAACCCATTACAGAAGCTAGTATGCAGAGGGTCTGGGAAGGCAGCATAGCTGCCCCTCTATCCATGGGGGATTGGTTCAGGAGCCGTAAGGATGCTTTAAATCATCTTTAGAATACTTAAAATGCCCAATGCAATGCAAATGCTATGTCAGTAGTTTATACTGTATTTTAAATTTTGTGTTTTTTGTTGTATTTTTACCCCCAAGTATTTTCAGTCCTTGATTGACTGAGTCCAGGAGTGTGGAACTTGCAAATATAGAGGGCCAATCATGGTTCTATTTGACACCTTGAATAATTGTCACAGAATTGCATTTTAACACTGCCAAATGTGGATTTTGTTAGCCGTTTATTTTTTATCAAAGCCTGCATATTTACAACTTTTTCCATAAAGATGTTTTTGATGATACATATGTCTATCACTCTTGTCATAATATCCCATGAAAGAATTTAGAGCTTTGCTTTTATAACTTACTGTACTTAATTTTTGTTTAGTGCATACTGGGCTGTGAGCCTCATTAAGTCAGATACCATGTCTTTTGTTTACTGTGGTACCCTGTTGTTGGGGGCCTGACACATAAATAAGTTCTTAAAAAGACCTGTTGAATAAGAGGCAGTGTGTAAAATTCAGTACAGTTTTAGGTAATGTACAGTTCCAAGTGCTTTGGAGGACACAAAAGGTGTGTGACTAAATCTCTGTTCTCAAAGAACTTACAGTTAAGTTGGGGAGGTGAAAAAGAAGACGTTGCAAGATAGAACATAACTGAAAGAATGGTTTTGGGGGATGATGTGGGTCACAGTTACTTTGGGTCATACTCTATGATAGAGGAGGTGGAATTTGAGCCTTGCAAGTTAGGGAGAGGGGCTGGATCTGGTGGCTCATTCCTGTAATCCTGGTGCTTTGGGAGGCCAAGGTGGGCAGATTACTTGAGTTCTTGAGTTCAAAACCAGCCTGGGCAATATAGTGAAACCGTCTCTACTAAAATACAAAAATTAGCTGGGGGCGTTTCTTCTAAAAATACAAAAATACATGCCCTAGCTACTTGGGAGGCTGAGGTGGGAGGTTGGCTTGAGCCTGGGTGTCAGAGGTGTCATTCAGCCAAGATTGGGAGGCAAGGCCGGGTGCGGTGGCTCATGCCTGTGATCTCAGCATTTTGGGAGGCTGAGGCAGGTGGATCACCTGAGGTCAGCAGGAGTTTGAGACCAGCCTGGCCAACATGGTGAAACCCCATCTCTACTAAAAAATAGAAAAAAATTAGCTGGACCTTGTGGCGGATGCCTATAATTCTGGCTACTCGGCAGGCAGAGAATTGCTTGAACCCAGGAGGGGGAGGTTGCAGGGAGCCAAGTTCTCACCGTTGCACTGCAGCCTGGGTGACAGAGCAAGATGCTGTCTCAAAATAAAAATAATAGATGGGGGGTGGAGGTTGCGGTGAGTGGAGATCGTGCCACCGCACTCCAGGCTGCGTGACAGAGCCAGACTTTGTCTCAAAAAAGAAAAAACAGTTAGGGAGAACTGGGAGAGCGAAGAGGAGATGAAACATTGAGTGAAAGCACTAAGTGTACCTATGCTTTGGGACTCTTTGAAGAGACAAGCACAGAAAATCTTTTAGTCTTTGAGATTCCTGCTGCCTGACATATATAATGGGCATATATGTTTGTAGAAGGGATGGATGTGATACAGAATTCTTGCTCTTCAGCCACATCTGGGTTCTTATGTCACGACCAGGAGAAATTAGGCACATGGACACATTGAAGGATGAGGAGGGCTGAATTTATTGGGTGAAAGGAAAAAAGAAAAAAGACTCAGCAAATCGAGAGCGGGGTCTGCTAACAGGCCCTTAACTTAAAGATTGAATACCAGGCCACCACACAGGAGCCCGAGACTAGGCTCCTCCCCTCTGTGCAAGAAGCAACTTCCCCTACCTCTGCCCCATTCTTTCATTGTGCCTGTAGCCATTATTGGAAAAGAATCTGCCCTGAAAGGGTGGGCAGATGTGCAGTTCTCCCTCAGGGTCCTGGGATCTGGGAAGCACAGTTCGACCTTTCAGCCTTCAGGCTGTTCTAGGCTTCAAGGTGGGGTTTTGCCGAGACTCTTGGCAGTCTCCTGTCTCTCAGATGGATGACTAAATGAAGTAAGGCTAAGTATAGAGAAATGTGATAGGGAACTCATTTCTTTACGCAGTCATAATTGTCACTAAAGTTCAGGTCTTTGCAACGTCTTGTGTGGATTCTCACCACTTTTAACTGGTAACCCCGTAATAAAGCTGTATGTCATCGGCCTCCCCGGTGTCTAGTGTGTAGGGCCTTTTAAACTTTTGATGTACATTAAGCAGTACATTTTTTGCATTGTGATTTAACGGGTACATGGATTTATGTGTAGATTTAAGTGTATGTACATATAATATGAAACCATTTGCAACACTTATATGTGGTCTCTTAATACTTTTTGTCATTTTTTTCTTTTTTCTTTTTTTTTTTTTTTGAGATGCAGTTTCACTCTTGTTACCCAGGCTGGAGTGCAATGGTGCGATCTCGGCTCACCACAACCTCCACCTCCTGGGTTCAGGCAATTCTCCTGCCTCAGCCTCCTGAGTAGCTGGGATTACAGGCACGCGCCACCGTGCCCAGCTAATTTTTTGTATTTCTAGTAGAGACGGGGTTTCACCATATTGACCAGGATGGTCTAGATCGCTTGACCTCCCTCGTGATCCACCCGCCTCGGCCTCCCAAAGTGCTGGGATTACAGGCGTGAGCCCCGCGCCCGGCCCCTATTCTGTTTTTTAAAGTGCAGGCTGTAACCTTCTAAATTGGTTTCATGACCTATTAATGGGTTGTGGGTGACGTGAACAACACACCTACAAGGCCAGTGCTAATATTCTTGATTCTAAGACCCATCTGATTTGCCCCTCTGCCTTTCCATCGTCATCCCCGTCACTTCTAACATACCCACCTCTAAGCCCTTCAGAACTATTTGCTCTTACCCAATTCGGGTGTCTCACATGCTTATGTACATGCCAGGACTGTCTTGAATCTCACTGTCTGGCAAATTCCTGTTTGTCTTTTAAGGCTCACACAAAATGTTTTTTTTCTGTGGAGTGATGTGCAGTCTGTCCCACTGGATGTGTTAGCTGTGCTCTCCTGGGTTCTCAGGCAGTTTGTACCAGACTGTTTGTGGCATCGGGTACATTATATTTTAAGTAATATTTGCTTCAGGGTCTGTATTTTCTATTAAGAGCTGGTACCATGCCAGACACATGATGAAAAATAAAAAATACTTGCATGTGAGTCAGTGTTTGTATATAGTTAGCTATTAGTGCTTGATTGAAACCAAGGCTCCCAAACCATTGAGGAACCCAAATTGTTATTAAAGAATAAGGCAGGAATCACCTTTGTTCTTTTAGTAGATGTCACCTCCTTCATTTCCCCTACCCAGGTTATTAAATGCTTTTGAGGACTTGGCTTTTCTTTATTTCAATTCCTGGTTTTGGCCAATTTTCATAGTTTCAATCAACTGTTGTATTCTTTACATGATGCAGCATTCAGTAAATCCTTTTTGGTCAAGTTAGTCTGCTGTTAGCCTAAACTCTTGAATGTGGGTTAGATTTTTAAGAGGCAAGTGAAAAGCATTTACTCCAAATGTGGAATTTTTTCCTAGGTTTACCAATTACTGTTATGAATTAGGCTTGCTCTTAATCTTCAGGTGTAGATTATTTTATGGCTTTCAAGTTACTCATAATCTGGAAGACCTAAATTGTTAATTCATACATATTTTTACTGAAGTTCAGATTTTTCAGACTTTAAAATCATTAAAAGTGTAACAAAATAATTTAGATGAAGTTATAAAATGACTTTGCTTTCTTTTTTTGGGTTCACTAACTGAATGTATTTTTAATTAATTTTTTAAAGATGGGTCTCTCTGTTGCCAGACTGGTCCTGAACTCTTGGGCTCAGGTGATCTGCTTGCTTCAGCCTCGAAAAGTGCTGGGATTACAGGTGGCTTTTAGCCTGTTAGTTTAAAATGATAAATATATATTTTTTTGCTAATGAAATGCTCACGGTTGCTTTCTAATAAAAAGCAGTTCTAATAAAATGCTCACTGGAGTGTATTAGTTTTCCAGAGAAATGGAGCTAATAGGATATATAGAGATACCTAGATCTAGATAGCTACCAATGGAAATTGCTTCATGCATTTATGGAGGTCAAGAAATTCTGTCTGCCATCTATAAGCTGGAGAACCAGGAAACTAGTGGTGTAATTCAGTCCAAGCCTGCAAATCAGCGGAGCGGATGTTATAAATCCAAAAGTGGGGAGAGAGCTGAGAGGCAAGTGGTGCTGCTGGTGTTAAGTCCTAGAGATATCAGAGGGCAAAAGAAGATGGAAATTACAGCTCAAGAAAGAGACTGCCCCTCTTTTGCCCTTTCTTTAAGAAACACCCTCACATACACACCTAGGAATAATGTTTTGATAGCTCTCTAGCTCAATCCAGTTGACACATAAATTAACTGTACATGGAATGATGGCCTCTAGCACGTGCCCTTCAGCCTCCCCACCCCCACCCCAGATGGAGTCTTGCTGTGTCACCCAGGCTATAGTGCAGTGGCATGTTGAAATCTGCAAAGCAGTGTTTTGTAGAAAATAAAACCTTTGCTATATGACAGACATAGGTTTGAATGCTGCTTGAGCCATCTGCCGCTGGTGCTTCTTGCTAAGTCACTTAAACTCTCCATTGTTGTCTTCAATCCTTTGTTCTTTCTCTGTTGAGCCACCCCCGCCCTTTGTACATGGAAACCTCAAACAAAATAGACACCTTATCCCTCATTCTTTACTTTGCAAATTTAGCAATTTCTTTCAGTGGTCAGTTGTCATCCTCAAGTTGTTCTCTCACTTGTAAACTGGGTCAGTGCCTACTCTTAGGGCTTGTATGTTGATGAAGTGTAAATCACCCTGAGCTGTTCTGCTCTGCCTTTCAGAGGCAGATCATTACCAAATTAATCTCAAGCTTTTTTGAAATTCATAGTCTTAAATTAAATTTAACTGATATTTTAGCATGTCTCACCTGTGGGAAATTTAGGTTTTGTTGGAGGGAAGGCTTATCTCTAATGCCTTTCAGTTTTTGGGTTATTGTCCTTCAGCTCCTGTTAGTCTGCATTCGTTTCATGCCAAACATACATACACAACCCACCCAGGACAAGGTAGAATCTGTCCTTAGGCAAGGGGGGCTCCCCTTTCTGTGTAGTTTCCGTGAGATAACTTTCTCTTACTTTTTACCTGTCACCACCTCCACTCCTTAGGAAATGTAGGGCTAAAATTAAAAGATGAACAAAAATATGTGTTCTACCTTGTCTTTAGATATTATAATCTGGAATCTAATTTCTAATAATCTGAAAAATAAACTCTAATGGATGGTTGCCTTTTAGTTTGCTGTGGCTGAACCAAGAAAGAAGGCATATGCAGATTTCTACAAAAATTACAGTCCTGAGAAAGATTTTGAGGAGATGAAGAAGGCTGGTATCTTTCGTAGTATAAAGTGATCTTGGAATAGAAAGGTAATACGGTTTTTTGAAGTTGCTATAAATATTATATGTTCTGATTGTGGTAAAATGCAAATATAGATGACTGTCCCTGACTTACAATGTTTAGACATAAGATTTTTTTACTTTATGATAGTGTAGAAACCATACTTTGAATTTTGATCTTTGTCCACATGAGCAGTAAGTGGTACAGTACTTTCATAATGTGGGGGAATAGCAATGACCACAGCTCCCAAACCCAGAAAGACATGTGATCACAAGGGTAAACAACTGATAATGTACTCTGTAGTGATATGTGAGATACTCAGTGTTTTATTATAAGCTAGGCTTTGTGTTAGATCATTTTCTCCAACTGTAGGCTAACATAAGTGTTCTGAAAACATTTAAGATAGGGAAGGCTAAGCTGTGGTGTAGGTTAGGTGTATTAAATGCATTTTCAACTTTAGATATTTTAAACTTATGATGGCTTTATCAGAATGTAACCTGATGGTAAGTTAAGGAGCAGCTGTAATATAAAATACACCATCTTAACCATTTTTAATTTTGCAGTTTCATAGTCTTAAGTGCATTCACATTGTGCATCCAGTCTCCAGAACTCGTCATCTTACAGAATTGAAACTTTATATCTATTAAGCAACCCACTCAGACCCTGGCAGCTGCTGTGTTACTTTCTAAGAATTTGGCTACTCCAGATATCTCATAAATAGTCATACAGTATTTGTTTTCTTGTGACTGGCATATTTCATTTAGCATAATGTCCTCAAGGTTCATCCATGTTACAGCATGTGTCCGTTTTTCCTTTTTTTTTTTTTTTTAAAGCGGAATGATCTATTTTAGGTGTGTCACGTTTTATTACCCATTCATCCGTCAATATATGCTTGGATTGCTTCCACTTTTTGATTGCTGTGAGTGATGCTGTGAACCTAGGTATACAAATATTCCTTGAAGGCTTTGCTTTCAATTCTTTTGGGATATATTCAGAAGTGGAATTGCTGGATCATACGACGTTTAATGTCTTAAGAAACTGCCGTACCGTTTTCCATAGTGGCTGCACCGTTTTACACTCTCGACAGCCGCTCACCAACTTTCCTGTTTCTTTCCAACCTCCCCAGCACTTGATAATTTTTTTAAAATTTTCTTTTAACCCAGTAGTTCTTTTAGAGGCTTTTATTTTTTTAAACAGGGTGTCCTTTTATCACCCAGGCTGGAGTGATGTAGTGCTGTCATGGCTCACTGCAGCCTCAACCCCCCAGGCTCAAGGGATCTTCCTGCTTCAGCCTCCCGAGTAGCTGGGACTAAAGGCATTTGCCACCACACATGGCTAACTTTTGTTTTTTTAGTAGAAACAGGGTTTCACCGTATTACCCAGTCTGGTCTTGAATTCATGGGCTCAAGTGATCCGCCCACCTTGGCCTCCCAAAGTGTTGGGATTACAGGCATGAGCCACTGTGCCTGGCATAATTTTGGTATTTTTGATAGTAACCATCCTAATAGGTATGAGGTGGTATCTCATTGTGGTTTTGATTTGCATTTCCCTGATTATTTGTGATGTTGAGCATCTTTTTCATGTGCTTATTGGCCATTTATGTTATCTTTGGAGAAATGTTTATTCTGTTCTGTTCATTTTTGAATTTGGCATTTTGTTTATTGGTTGTTGTAGTTCTGTATATATCCTGGATATTAACCCCTTATCAGATGCATGATTTGTAAATATTTTCTTCCATTTCATAGGTTGCCTTTTCACTTTTGTGTCCCTTGATGCACAGAAATTTTGATGTTGAATTTGCTTTTACTTTTGTTCTATGTGCTTTTAGTGTCCTATTCAATGTCATTGCCAAATCCAGTGTCATGTTTTTCTTATATGTTCTTCCAAGACTTGTATAGTTTTAGCTCTTCTGTTTATATCATTGATTCACTTGAATTTTTTGTCTAGGGTATAAAGATCCAGTGGTATTCTTTTACATGTGGTATCCAGTTTTCCCAAAATCATTTGTTAAGATTGTCCTTTTCCACGGAATGGTCTTGGCACCTTGGTGAAATCATAACTCTAAATGCGAGGGTTTATTTCTGGGCCTTTCAGTAATCTGTATGTCTGTCTTCATGTCAGTACCACACTGTTTTGATTACAGTAGTCACCTTTAATCCAAGATGTTATGTTTCAAGACCCCTCCAGTGAATTCTTGAAACCACAGATAGTACCAAACCCTATATATATATTTTCCTATATGTACACATACCTTTGATGATGTTTAACTCATATATTAGGCATAGTAAGAGATTAGCAATAACAAAATAGAACAATTACAGTATATAGTAATAAAAGGTGAATGTGGTCTCTCAATATCTTGCTGTACTTTACTTACCTATTTTTGAACCACAGTTGACTATGAGTAACTGAAGCGGTAGAAGGTTAAACCACAAATAAGGGATGGCTACTACACTGTAGCTTTATAGTATGCTTTGAAATCAGGAAGTGTGAGCCCTCCAGCTTTGTTCTCTACCCCCTTATCCCCCACCCTAAGAGTATTTTAGCTATTTGGGGTTGCTTAAGTGTCTGTGAATTTTAGGATGGATTTTTCTGTTGCTGCAAAAAACACCATTGGGATTTTGATAGGGATTGCATTAAATCTGTAGATTGCTTTTGGTAGTATGGACTCTTAACAATATTAAATATTCCAATCCATGAATGCAGGATGTCTTTCCTCTTTGTATCTTTAATTTCTTTTAGCAATATTTTGCATCTTTAATTTCTTTTAGTGTTGCTAATCTCTTACTCTGCCTAATTTATGAATTAACCTTTATCATAGTTATGTGTATATATGAAAAAAACATATGTATAGGGTTTAGTACCATCCATGGTTTCCGGAATGCACTGGAGGGGTCTTGAAACATATCACCTTGGAGAAAAGACTACTATAATCAAAACGGTGTGTCTAAGGACACACATTTCTTTCATTTTATAGTGACATGTTTCAGTTACCTTCTTATTTCCTTTTCTGTATTTTCTTTGTGGTTACCATGGGGATTGCATGTTTGAGATTTGCTAATTTCTTTTAGCAGTGTATAGAAATTTATTTCATCTAGGTCACTGTTGAAATCTTTCACATTCCTGGTTAAATGCATTTCTAAGTATTATTTTTGATGCAATTATGAATAGTATTTCTTAATTTCCTTCATGACCATTTATTGTTATTGTATAGAAAGAGCTAATTTTGTCTCTTCCAAGTTAGCAGAATTCATTTATTCTGACAGTTTTTTTGTGAGAACTCTTTAGGGTTTGCTGCAGGTAAGATGCGGTCTGTAAACAGAGAGTTTTACTTCTTCCCTTTTTTGGATGCTGCTTATTCCTTCTTGTCTCATTGCTCTGGCTAGGACTTCCAGTACTACACCGAGTAGAAGTGGCAAGAGTGGGCATCCTTCTGGTTTTAGATCTTAGAGGAAAAGCTTTCACGTTTTCCTTGTTCAGTATATTAGCTTGTCCTTTTTGGCTTTTATTGGGTTGAAGTACATTTCTCGTGTTGATAGTTGTGATTATGAAAGGATGTTGAATTTTGTCAAATACTTTCTCTGCATTTTTTGAGATGGTCATGTGTTTTTTAATCCTTAATTCTGTCAGTGTGGTGTATCGCATCTATTGATGTGCATATGTTGCATTGTCCTTGCATCCTAGGGATAAATCCCACTTAATCATGGTATATGATTCTTCTAATGTGCTGTCAAATCTGGTTTGCTTGTGTTTTGTTGAGGATTTTTGCGTCTGTGTTCAAAGATTTGGCCCATAGTTTTCTTGTGTGTTTGTCTGTCTTTGGTATCAGGATAATGCTGGCCTTATAGAACGAATGTGGAAATGTTCCCTTTTCCTCATTGTTTTTGGAAAAGCTTGAGGAGGATTGGTGCTGGTTTGATAGAGGGCTGGGCATAGTGGCTCATGCCTGTAATCCCAGCACTTTGGGAGGCTGAAGCAGGTGAATTGCTTGAGCCCAGGAGTTTGAGACCAGCCTGGGCAGCATGGTGAAACCCATCTGTACAAAAAAAAAATACAAAAAATAACATGGATGTGATGGCTACTTGGGAGGCTGAGCTGGGAGGATCACCTGAGCCTGGGAGGTCAAGGCTGCAGTGAGCAGTGATTGCACCACTGGGCTCCAGCCTGGGCAACAGAGGGAGACCCTGTCTACCCTCTACCCCCCAATTTTTTTTTGAGTTGTGTATTTCTAGGAATGTATCTGTTACATCTAGGTCATCCAGTTTGTTTACATATAATTGTTCATAGCATTCTCAGTCCTTTTTAGATTTGTAAAATCAGTTGTAATGTTCCCTCTGTTAGTTATTTGATGGTTCTTTTTCTATTGGTCTGACTAAAGGTTTTTTGATTTGATCTTTTCAAAGAACTGTTGGCTTTGATTTTTTTTTTTCTATTTTCTGTAGTCTTATTTTCTTTATCTCCAATATTATTTACTTCCTTCAGCTACATGTGGGTTTAATTCCACTTTTTCCAGTTCTTAAGTAAAGTTAGATTGATACAATCTTTCTTTTAAAATTTCCTTGGGATTTATTTTTTAATCCATTGGTGGTTAGAGTCAGTTTAACTTAAACATATTTGTGGATTTTCCTCTTTTCCTTTGGCTTTTGATTTCTGGTTTCATGCCATTGTAATCAGAAAAGATACTTTGTATGATTTCCAGTCTTTTAAAATTTGTTAAGACTGACTATGTGACCTTACATACAGTTTGTCTTGGAGAATGTTCCATGTACACTAGGGAAAAATGTGTATTCTGTTGTTAGATGGAGTGTAAGTCCAGTTGATAAATAGTGTTGTTCGAGTCCTATGTTTTCTTATTAGTCCTTCTATCTAATTGTTTGATCTGTTACTGAAAGTGGACTATTGAAGTCTTCTACTGTTAGAGCTGTCTGCTTCTCCCTTCAATTGTGTCAGTGCTTGCTTCATATATTTAGAGCTCTGATGTTTGGTGCATATGTATTTATAATTGCTAGATCTTATTGGTGAATTAATCTTTTTATCATTATAGAATGTTGTTCTTTTGTCTCTTGTAACATTGTAGACTTGGTCTATTTTGTCTGATTTAGTGTAGCTAACCCCGTTGTCTTTTGGTTGCTCTATGTGTGGGACATTTCTTTCTACTCTTTTACTTTCCGCTTGTGTGTCCTTAGATCTACATTGAGGCTCTTGTGAACAGCATATAATTGGATCCAGGTTTTTAATCCATTCTGTCATTGTCTTTTGGTTGGGGAGTTTAATCCATTTACATTTAAGGTAATTACTGATAAAGACACAGTATTGCCATTTTGTTTTCTGGATGTTATAGCTTCTTTGTCCTTCATTCCTTTCCTTTTTTTTTTTTAGTTTTGTAGTGGTAGGTTTCAGTTTCCTTCTTATTTCCTTTTGTGTATATTCAGTATTTTCTTTGTGGTTACCATGGGGATTACATGAAATACGCTAAAGTTAAAACAATTTAAACTGATAAAAACTTCAATTGCATATAAAAACTCCTTTACAGCACTACCCTCTTCCTCCTGTGTTACTGATTTCACACATTATATTTATATATTATGAATCCATTAATATGGACCTGTAGTTATTTCTTATGCTTTTGTCTTTTAAATCCTATAAAAAAAATTAAAAGTGAATTTACAAACCAATTTCTTTCTTTTTTTTTTTTTTTTTTTTTTTTAGGAGACAGAGTCTTACTCTGTCACCCAAGCTGGAACGCAGTGATGCAGTCTTGGCTCACTGCAATTTTGGCCTCCTGGGTTCAAGCAATTTTGTGCCTCAGCCTCCCGAGTAGCTTGATTTACAGATGCTCCCCACTATGCCCAGCTAATTTTTGTATTAGTAGAGATGGGATTTCACCATGTTGGCCAGGCTGGTCTCAAACACATGACCTCAAGTGTTTGGGCCTCCTGAAGTGCTGGGATTACAGACATGAGCCACTGTACCTGGCAGAAACCAGATTTTAATACAAGCTTCACATGGCTTTGAGTTACTAGTGTCCTTTTGTTTCAACTTGAAAGATTCCTTTTAGTATTTCTGTAGGGCAAATCTAATGGTAAAACTCCTTTGCCTTTTCCTTTTTAAATCTGAGAACTTCTTTGTTTTTGAAGAGTTTTGCAGGACATATGACAAGTGTTTTTTGTTTGTTTTTTTTTTTTTTTAGATGGAGTCTCACACTGTTGCCCAGGCTGTAGTGCAGTGGCGTGATGTTGGCCCACTGCAGTCTCAACCTCCTAGGTTCAAGCAATTCTCTTGCCTCAGCCTCCTGAGTAGCTGGGACTACAGGTGTGTGCCGCCATGCCCAGCTAATTTATTTTTATTTTTAGTAGAGATGGAGTTTCACCATGTTGGCCAGGATGGTCTAAATCTCCTGACATGGTGATCTGCCTGCCTCCACCTCCCAAAGTCCTAGGATTACAGGTGTGAGCCACTGTGCCCAGCCAAGTGTTTCTTTTTTTTCTTTTTTAGCTCTCTGCCCTTTTTCTCTTTTGGGACTCCCATAATACCTATATTGGTCTGCTTGGTGTAGTCATATCTCTTAAGCTAGTCCCTTCTTTTTTTTCTCTTCAGGCTTTTAAAATTTTAATTTAGTTTTATAGAGATGGGGGTCTCACCATGTTGGCTAGGCTGGTCTTGAACTCCTAGGCTCAGGCCATCCTCCTGCCTTGGTCTCCCAGAGTTTTGGGATTAAAGGCATGAGCCACCATGTCTGGCCTGCTCTTCAGACTTGATAACTTCAAATGCTCTGTCCTCAAGTTTCCTGATTCTTTCCTCTGCCTTTTTGAGCCTGCTGTTAAATCCCTCTAGTAGATTCCTACTTCCCCTCCCCCCATTCAGTTACTCTATTTTTCAGCTCCAGAATGTTTGGATTTAGAAATAATTTTCTTTGTTGATATTCTCACTTGTTCATATAATTACCTAATTTTCTTAGTTGTCCACATTCTCCTTTAGCTCATTGAGGATATTTCAGACAGTTGCCTCTGTTCTTTTTTTTTTTTTTTTTTTGTGGCTGAGTCTGCTGCCAGACTGGAGTACAGTGGCGCAATCTTGGCTCACTCCAATCTCTGGTTCCCTGGTTTCAAGCGATTCTCCTGCTAAGACTACAGGCATGTGCCACCACACCCAGCTGATTTTTCTATTTGTTTAGTAGAGATGGGATTTCACCATGTTTACCAGGATGGTCTCAATGTATTGACCTTGTGATCTGCCCACCTTGGCCTCCCAAAGTGATTGGATTACAGGTGTGAGCCAGCGCGCCTGGCCACCTCTGTTTCTTTAGAGTTGACTTGTGGAGATTTCTTTATGTGCCTTGTGGTCTTTTGTGAAATTCAGGCATTCGTAAAACCAGCCACCTGTCCCCTTGCAGACTGGTTCTATGCATGGAAAGGCCTTCACTGATTAGCCCACCTTAAAGGCTTGGTGTCCTCTCAGACTTTTTCTAGGGATGCGTCTTCTCTGGGCCTGTGCATATGCATTATATATTCCTCCTGTACGCAGCTGCCTTTCAGTTTTTCTTAGTTTTCCTGAGTTTGACTCCGGCCTCCTCTTGGAGCCTTAGCTATTCTGTTTTATTCCTCTGCCTGTGATTGCTTGCACACAGGTTTCTGAAGATCTGTGTTCCCCTGTAGCTCATTCATTCCATGGTACTCATCATTGCTTTCAGCTGTTTTCAACCTCCTATCCAAACTATGCTATTATTCCCATTAACACTCGGATTCAGGCAAAACTGAAAGCAGTCCCTTGGGCACCTCCACACAAACCAGAACATTGCAGGCCTGTTCCATTCTTTATGTCCTGAGGGAAGAGCCAGGGTAGTTTTCTTCTGACTGTATTGCACTGCAGAGGGAGTGTGGCAAGAGTGAGCAAAAATGCCACGAAATTTCCTGCTACTTTTGAGTGTGGCTTTTTCTTGGTTGCTGCTCAGCTGATTTCTAGAGTTCTCATAAAGCTAAACAGTTTTTAATTTTCGGTCTATATGTTCATTATCTTGTGGGGGTTAGGGGGCCTGGGTCTTGACAGTCTATTATCTTGCTGACATGATATTACTTTGTATGTTCAAAATCATTTTTATAGGTTATGCTGTTAATTGCTAGATTGGCATTATGCATGTTACACTTTGAGAAGTCACTTTTAAAAAGTATTTATGACAGTATAGTTAGGTGAGTGTTAACGAGTGACTAGCTGGCTTTCCATAGATCCTGGTTTGGTCTGTTGTATCCACAAGATCTTTATGCCTCATGGACAGTGTGAATTAAAGTTCTATATCTAGAAAAGGACTGACTGGTGTGCTGATGAAGTCATCTACCAAATTGACTTGATAGCATGTATAAAGTACCTGAGGAGACTTCCTACTCTGGAATCTTACGTGTAGATTTAACTTCATTCAAGCCCAACAAAAAAGAACAATGTAAAGTTTGTTTGCCACTTCCGTCTGTGTTTATGGCCTGTAAATGAGTGTGCTGTGACATGGAGAATGTGAATCTGCTATTTTGTCAGGCTGTTCCTAAATCTTTCAGTTGCACTATATATGGGGGTTACAGCCCAATAAACCTTATATGTTGAGAATATCATGTCAAAATGCATTTAAGACCCCAAAAAAACCCATTATAGAGTCAAAAAATTGTAAGTCAAGCCATCATAAGTTGGGTACCATGTATATTAAGGAAAAAAGATCAAGAAAATATTAATGGTTGTTTATAATCTTAACATACCTGCTTTAACTTTGAAACTTTCAGAATTTACAGTGAGCATGCATTTTATAATCAGAAGATGTTAATAGGCTAATTTAAATTTGTTAGATATTTACCATTATTATTTATAAGATTATGTTTAAAAAAATCTATGAGAGCAGATTTGGAGATAGGAACGTAAATATTGCTTGGAACAGAAACAGTATGTGGCTATAAGAGGGAATAGGGATGGGGTAGAATTGAGAAGGAGAAAAGCAGAATTTGTTAAATGAAAGCAAGAAATCAGAGTAAGATGTGGTATGCCCAAAATGGAAAAGATGCTATTCAGAGTGGTCAGGGAGCTTAGAGGAGCTTAAAGGAGAGTGAACTTGGAGTCCAGGTGGCCTGAACTGTGCTTTTTCTGTGGCTGAGGGTGAGTGAACGAGGTACGACATCTACTAGTAGGAATAGACCTCAGTTGATCCTCAAAGATGGTGGATATTGAGAAAATGTTTATCATTAACTTAGCCTTTGTGTTTCTCTTCACAGAATTTCTTCAGGTTGAATTACCTAGAAGTTTGTCACTGACTCGGGTTCCTGAACTATGACACATGAATATGTGGGCTAAGAATTAGTTTCTCTTGATAAATAAAAGTTAACAAATACATTGGACAGTAAGTCTTTCTCAGTTCTTAATGATAATGCAGGGCACTTTAGTAGCATCAGAATTGGTTTGGGATTTAACTGTTGATAAAGCTAACTTGATTTCTGTGTTCTTTACAATTTCATTGTTCTGGCACCTCTTTAACTGCAATAGTTTGCCCGTTTCATTGAGATATTCCTAGGTGCAGTTACTTGGTCCTGGGCCATGGATTAAAGTGTTCTTTATGAACCTATAAGACTGCTGTGGGCTCTAAGAAGAGACAATCCTAATAAAATCTGTCCCTGGCCTTCACTGCCAGTATTTGGTAGCTGTGCCACCACCAGATAGATGAAGTAGGTAATTCAAATGTAGGGTTTCTTACGCAGTATTGCTTTACTAATAACAAGCTAACAGTATGTAACAGAATTTGGATATATATCTAATCCAGGAGAAAGTTACTTAACTAGAATTGAATGTCTGCTAATGACTAGCAGAGTATGGTACTTTTTCAGAGGTTGTCTTAGGACTTTTAATTCATGCCTATTTGCAAGCAAAGTGATACTGGAGAGCTTGGGAAAAAAAGACTCCTATTTTATTCAAAGCTAATTTAATCATTCACTTTATTAAGATAACAAAACCTATGTATTACCCTTTTCAACTTGTGTAAAATTCAGTGATGTGAGCTATATTAAATTCGGGTATTAGTGAAAATTGGCATTGTAAAACCTGTTGGTAACAGTAGACATCTGTAGGTGGTCAGTAATTCAAGGATACCTTTTATTTTAAACGATTTAATAGTTCATATCAATATGCAAAATTACCATATACAAGGATTAATATTTATTTACATTTTAAAAAATAGTTACTCTTGAGGTTGACAACTGTCACTTTCCTAAATTAGTATTACAGAACAAACTGAAAGAGCCATTTCTCATAGTCAGAATTGTTCATTAAACCTTGCTTTCAGTAACAATTACAGAGTGACTTCTTAGCCCAACATGTGAGAGTTAAAGATCAGTGGTTATTGGGCATGGTGGCTCACACCTGTAATCTCAGCAGTTTGGGAGGCAGAGGCAGAGGAATGCTTGAACTCGGGAGTATGAGACCAGCCTGGGCAACACAGTGAGACCTCATCTCTAGAAAAAAATTTAAAAATTAGCCAGGTATGGTGGTGTATACCTGTGGTGGTGGTGGTATAGTCCCAACTGCTTGGGAGGCTGGGGTGAGATCACTTAAGTCTAGGAAGTGAGCTTGAGCTGCAGTGAGCCATGATTGTTCCACTGTACTCTAGCCTGGGTGACAGAATGAGATCCTGTCTCCAAAAAAAAAAAAAAAACCAATAATGAGCATTTAAAATTGCATTCTCTTAGCACCTCAAAATTGTAGGTAACAAGCTATAGACCCAAGTTTAAATGTAATCAGCAAACATGTTCTAAGTTACTGGACAATTTACTGAACATTTAAGATACCTGATGACCCAAGATCTTGAGTCAAACCCATTCTTAGGTGCACTATATTGGACACTGGGAATATCTTAATGCTTTGTCAAGTCAATTCCACAGAATAACGATCTGGACTGGTATTGTTAACATTAATATTGGGGTTCTTGTGTGCTCCACAGTGTACCAGGGAGTTTCCATGATGTATGTTTTGTTTATGGAACCAGGCAAACTCACTTGAGAACTTTGGGACTGGATTTCAATATAGGACAAAGGATTTACTCAAAGTTTGCTTAGTAAAACACAAACTGGAAAAACACTTTTTCTAAAATGCACCTGGACAGTAATTGATGCTGTTTTGTAAATTTTAGTAAAATGCAGACTTCAGAGGAAATATACATAGCAGCGTTCAGTAAAAGAACAGCATTGCAGTTAAGTGACAAATGTCACAAGCCACAAAGTCCTAAGCATTTCATTTAAAGAATCCTAGGCCTTTGCAGACAAAGGAGCATGAGGCCAAGGTGGTGACAGCCCAAAAACAGATGCAACTTGAAGTTTTAACTTTGGTTCTCCACTCTTAAGGCCTGGTCACATTCTGTGATGGAACAGTGTGTGTTAATAGATCCAAATCACAGTAGAAATTTTTGTGAGTGTCATAGAACAAAAAAAAATGCATCTTCTATGTGTGGTAAGAACATAAAGGGCCCTGTTAATCATTGTCTCCAAGTGGGAAAGGAGCATGGTTTTGTCACTTTGAAGTGTCTTTTAGAGGTAAGGTTCTAAATACTAAAGGAAACTGACACTATAAGGAACTGTTGGCCTTGTGTCCATACTGGATGTTAAAGCTGATGAAGCTTTAAAAAAACGGCAGCCCTGTATAGTGGCATGTACCTGCAGTCCCAGCTACTTGTGGGTTGCAGTGGGAAGATTGCTTGAACCCCAGAATTTGAGATCAGCATGAGAATACAGTGAGACCCTGTCTCAAACCCAGAGACTAAATCACACAAGAAGGAATCAATATCAGCAGCATCTCCGAGGGGACTCAAGGAAACCCTTTCCTCAGGGCTTTATTTTTCACCATGGTAAATTTACTAATGAAGACCTGAGCGAAATGTGGATCAACCAAGTAACGGTATGTTTTAACAGTGGAGGGGGGAGGTTCTGCAGCCACCACAGGGCATGGTGTTTGCATGGAAGAGCAGCTGGGGGGCAGGTGACAAGATGTCTTTGTGATATAGTCCACAAGTCTGTTGTACTGTTGTTCTGACAGTCTCTCTCGGACTCCGTCTACCTAGGATCCAAAAATAAAGACTAATCAATTACTAGACCCTTATGAGAGTTGCGGAACAAAATAATTTTTTGCCTTGATGCACTTGTACGTTATGCCTTTTAGGTCATCTATTAACGCCATTCCCAAAACAGTGTTTCCCGTTTCTCTCTGAGATAAGGCAATGGTAATGCAGTTTTAGCAATATAACAAAAGCTGTACATGAGACTATCAGTGCAGCCTCCTTTGAATGCGCAGTTAGTGTTGCATACATTCCCATGCTTGAAAGCTGATGATTTGATAACATTCTGCTCATTAACTATTAAAACATTTGCCATTGCTTTTTAGCAACCAGCCCAAGGGAAAAAAAAAAACTTTCTTCTGCATAAATCTAATCAACAACATTAAACTCAGCACTGAAATAAAAGCTCTGTTTGCCTGGCTCCCCAAACCTCTTCAGATAGATAGAAGGTCTTAAAGTGGAGAACACCTCTTTCAAACCAGTGGCGTTGGACAGAGCATTTTAAAAAATACTGTTTGAACTGTAACATTTTCTGATTTTATAAGTCCTAGGATTTAAAGCCAGAAAAAATAGAAAAACTGGGCAGTGGAAGGGGAAATTTTTATGGAAAATAGGATGCGAAGTACATTTATGGTTCATAAAAGTCTGGCTCATCTTCAGTGAAACAAATAGAACTGAGATATACTAGGTTCTTCCGTGAGATTCTGAGAAAGCGCTCATCAAAGGCAGTTGAAGCTGTAGATTCTTCCCACCGTATCTAGTCTGTAGATCAAGTGCAGTTGGAAGTTTGCAGTTGTAAGCCACCGGTTTGTGAAACTTAGGTAGCCACCAAACTTTCCATGGATTTTGCCTACTGAACGTTGGCAAGACTACTCTGGAAAAAGTGGTAAAGGCTTTCTATTTGTGTGTGTGGCCCAGAGATAATGCAATCAAGGTGTCTGAAAAGCTGGAGAAAGCCCTTGTGATGGCAGAGATACAGTAAAGGGGCTTGCTAAAGGAATAAGCAGGGAATCCCTTAGAGTTTGGATCTTGTGGTGGTAAGCGTGAGGAAAAGTCCCAAAAGATTCACTAACAGATGAAAGCTGTGCACCACCAGGCAAAAGCCAGAGCTCTGATATCATTTGATGGGGCCAGAATGCAGCTGGAAAGCTTTGAATACACAGAAAGTTTTAATTGCCCCTCCTGAACAGCAGCACAGGAAAACCCGTGTTGTGAAAGGAACGCAGCCAAGGAATAAATTGACCTTCTGACTCATTCTGAGCCTCTCATAAGGGATTTCAATAATGTGCCAGGCATATTAAGCAATTATTACCCCTAAACTGGTTTCATTTAACCAAGAAAAGCAAATGCTGATTTTAAAAAAATTTCAATCCTGCCATATTTAAATGTACCACATGATGTCATCTACAAATTAATTCCTTCCAAAATTCAAAGGAGCTGTGTTTCCTAGCATCTCAGGCAAAAGCTAAAAACCAGAAAAGTTGTTTATACAAAGATCTTAAAATACTGCTTTTAGTCTTCACTGGAAGTGTTCAGAGCAGACAGGGTTCCTTATGTCTGGATTATGCTGGGATGCACTAAGAGCCAGGCAGCTCAAGAAAGATCACTGACAAGGCAGCACTGCTGGCCCCCTCCCCTGCCCACTCATTTGAAAATACCTTGGATTACAGCACTTGGGAGGGTTTAGTCTCAGATGCTCTGCAGCTTGAGTTTTTGTGGGGGTGGGTAAGAGAGGTTAGGTTATAGACACAGGATTAAGGGAACAGTTACTCCTATTAATGACTTAAGGAGAGAAGTAAAGTGGAATAGAGAAAGCAGAATGTGGAGGATTAAGGCACGATGGCCTATCCACCTTCTGGCCAGTGCCCAGCTTTGGCTCTGTGGGCACAGTGCTCCTGCTCTCAGTCATGTCTTCCCACCTGTTTTAGGCCTTCCTTAATCCCAACCCTCTTTTAGCCCTGGATACCAGTGGAAAATCTGTGTTAAAAATCGTATCCAGAGCTTTAGTGCTGCTTCCTCTGATGCCACAGTCACAATAATCTTGGCAACTTTTAGGTGTGGTGACTTCAGATATGACCTCAACCCCTAGAGAAACTGAGGTCTATTCCCCTCTAGCTATGATGATTCTCCACAGTACCTGCCTCAAACACAAAAGAGAAAGATCACAGTTGAAGACAGGTCAACAGCAAAAGAATCTCCAGTTGCAATAGTGTAAGGTCTCTGAACTGCTTCCCAAGCAGCGAAGGAATCATGATGGCCACAGGGCCTCGGAGGTTTCTCACTAAGGACTAAAGACTTGAC